GCACAGATAACGAGTTTAAAGTAAGGCTGCATGCATACCTAGAACGGTATGTTCCTCGGGGTTGCGGTTATCTTTGGGAAATCAAATGTCCTATCTGCGGTACTGTAAAAATATCTTGTCGAGCAGAACAGGATGGACATGCCCCTGTGTCAAATTTTAGTCCCATGTGTCCTGGGTCTATAAAATAGATTTTGTTCTACAAAATGAAATTCACTTCTCGTTGCCGCAATTGATGCATGATCACCTTTTCACACCTTTTCTGTTTGTTTTTCATTTTCATTTACTTCGCATCAGGCCTCGACACAAACAGTGTTCGATGTCACGTACAAGTCGCGACGTGTCATTTGTGACATCACGTAACATTACGAAACCGCACGAAAGAAAAAAATACTCGTTTGACTCACGCGAGTTCCTTCGAGTCGAGTGCATCATATTTAAATCGACCTACCCGAAGTTAACTATTGAGTAAACCATGAAATTTTCGAAAGTACTGTCCTCACTTTCGATTAAATGAATTTACATAATACCGATTTCTTAAAATCTCCTCCTTCGAGGTCACCATCCCGCTTCTTGCGCACGAAGTATAAATAAACGAGCAATTCCAATCGAGTCCATCGTATTCAAATCAACCCACCTAAAGTTAACTATTTAATAACCCATGAAACTTTCGAAAATAATAGCATCCTCCCGTTCGATTAAACGAATCTACATAATGAGATACCAATTTCGTAAGAACTCGTCCGAGGTCCCTCCCCTGCATTTAACGCACAAAAATAAACGCTAAATGAACGAACAAATTCGAGTCGTGTACATCGTATTTAAATCAACCCACCTAAAGTTAACTATTTAATAACCCATGAAACTTTCGAAAATAATGGCATCCTCCCTCGATTAAACGAATCTACATAATGAGACACCAATTCCTTAAGGACTCCTCCTTCGAGGTCACTACCCTACTTCTTGCGCACGAGGCATAAATAAACGAACAATAAAGCCGTCTACATATGTAACTCAAGTGCGCTCGCAAAAGGTTCGACTTGTTACCCGTGACATCACGAGACATTACTATGTATGCCCTGTCATTCGAGCGGTCATAATTGTCAAACATTCCCAACAGTGGCGCCGTAGAGGTAAAAAACTCAGGCCCGACCTGTCCCCCGACAAAACGCCGCGCGTCTCCGTATTTTCCCAGCGGTAAGAAAGTAATACGCGTTAAACCGAGGCATAACCATGACAATGGTTTAAGCGGCATCGAGATTTATGCGCTCGTTAAGCCGAACTCGTTCCGGGCCCGAAAAGAATGGACTTGAATTTCGGGCCCGGCTTCGCCAGGCGTAAACCTTACAGGCCCGAGACGTCTTCACCGTGATTTGTGGCAACTTCCCTCGGCCTCGTCGAAACGAATCACCGGCAAAATGCATGCCCAGCCGGTAAATTCTTCCACAGGTACACGCACCCATGCACCATGCACTTTCATAGGAAAGTTCGCCCGTGGATGGAAGTTAACGGGCGGGGGATAAAAGCCTCGCCAAACTGAGAAATTGGGAAAAAAAGCGCCTCCAAACATGGATTTTGTCGTTCCCATGCAAATGCCGGCGGATAATTTCCCAAAAAGGGGAAAGGTGTTAAATAAAGTGCGACGTCGTTCTCAACTTTATTGAAAGTGAAAATTACACTCAGTAGAATAGTAAAGGCGGTTCCAACATTAGGAATATCTATTACTTTCATATCTTATCACCAGGAATGAATTAACTTGTAAATGTGGGAACTACATATAGGCACTTGATTAAAATAGTACAATCCTATTGTTATATACTAGTGGCAGTTTCTTGAAATTGTGCAATTTCAGTGGTTGGTTTTTTCTGGACTGGTCGGGTGTGCAGTTTGGACGGTTCCTTGTGTAGGCTTGGAAATGTCTTGAGAGGGAACGGATGCGACATGTCCGGGTAAAAAGTGAGGTTAGAGCTCCCTTAATCAAAGGGTTCACGCAGCACTTTACCCGAGCACGCTAGGTGGAGGTTGAAGCCATCGTTGGAGGAAGGCCTGGGTTATTGCAAAACCTCCGGTACGATCGAAAAGCATGCAAGGTTCTTCATAGGCGTATCCGTTACCGACATAGTAGAGCGCGTTACAGTCCTTGAGACTCCCCGACAGCGCGTGACGTCACTCCTGCAAGAACTTTTGCCTATTCCGCGCGCGAACGTGCACTGCGAGGCGCAAGTACGCTCCGGACCAGAACTAGGCACTTTTGCCGGCAAAAGAGTGAGAGGGGCGATCGTCGAACGACATTCTGCAGCACCGGCGTAAAGAGCAAAATGGCGCGGCGGCGAATCCTGCCAAGACGACGGAACGGTATTCAACTCGGCTCGTCCTTTTTGCCGTTATTCCGGGTTCCCCGGATGTGCCGTCTTGCTGTTCCGCCGTTTACGCGGATGAAATTACATTCGGCGATTGCCTAGTTGTCTTTCCTGGTTCCCAAGCCCGATACAATGTTACCAGAAACGCCCCTGGTAATGTACCATCGATTTCAGGCCGTGTCCGTATTCGTCAAAAGTTCCATCTAGTGTATAAATCAGGCAAGCGATGAAACTATTAATTTCCTACAGCACATCCTAATGTTGCATGAAATAAAAAATGATATGACGCCGATGCAGATATAACGAGAACAATTCAATTGCAATCAAAATTCATTTAAAATCGGCGAGTATTAGCCGACACTCTTTTGCGCATGTGCGTAGTGTAAGTACAAGAGGTGTTCGAATCTCAAATATTAAATACGTAGTATACTAATGCCAATTCGGATATTTCCAATTACGTCATCTTTTGGACACCCAAGAGAGGTTATGTTCGATACCACTCTTTAAATTCTGAAATATTTCCTAGATTGATTGTTTCAAGAAAACGTTCAAATCTCAACAGATCTAGCGTAAGTCCTTGTGTCTAGGTTGTGAATATGAAATAATTCAGTTTCACCGCGGTTCATCTTCGGCGTCGCGTTGGCATCTGCGCAACACTTTCGCATAACCTTAAAGCGAGGTCTCTCCCTGCGCAGTTCGATCACCCGAGTGACGCCGGGCAAGAAACGCGCGACGTAACGTCGATCTCGTTGTGTAAAAGACCCGTCCCGACTGGACCGTGCTCTCTTTTGACTTTCACTGGGCGCACGCGTAACGCCATGCGTGTGCGCGTGCGCGTGCGCGACCGGTCGGCGCGTGTGCGTGCGCAGCGGCCGCGGTCGGCCGCGCACCTTTCCATGTAATTCGCGGCGGCAGCGGCGGCGGCGCGGGTGAGTAAGCGCCATGAGGACCAGCCGTGCCCTGCACCAGTGACGTCACGCGCGACGCGGGATCCAAGATGGCGGACCCAGCGAAATCGACAGGACCGGTTTGCCGCGTCGCTACGACCGCCTAGCCAAATTCCCGGAAAATGCAAAAAATATGGCAAACTGCATGCGCGGCGCCGACGTCACCTTCAACCTTATCCTTATCGTAAGGATAACGTGGTACAACTATCTCATACATAACTTGACATCAAGAACCTCGACAATACTTCGACAAATACTGCTATATCTGACACCCTGTGCGCACTTCCAAGTCTCTAGTATGTCTCTTGACAACGCCCAAAACAAAGAGCTACCCTTTTGCATTTCGTTGCCCACTCATTCTACGATACGTTTTTCACACTTTTTGGGGCGATAAAAAGAAATGGTAATTTTGTATAGATTTAGTATAATAACTGTTTTGCTTTGTGCTTGCCTTCTTTGGGATTGAAAAGGTTAGGCTTGGCCGCGAGTTTTTGAGATGCGTTATGGCAGTGGTCATTTTACGAGTGTTTTATTTATTAAAGTAGAGTGTGCGAGTTTTGGTAAGTAAATCTCGGGTTTGTAAATAGTGCACGTGCAGTCTTGAATGAATTCCGCTACCCAGGTAATGAGAAACGTCAGCCATGCTGATTTTACGTTATGAATGCCTTCAGGGCGCTCCGTTATCCCACGAGTGGACGAGTCTAGTTTGGGAACTCTTCCTTTTCTGCATCTGCCCGTTAGGTTATGAACCGCATTGTGTTGGGGTATTCCGTTTAATGTTTACGCTCCTTCGCCGCAAAATTCTTCCCGCTGGGAGAGGACATAAACACCTCGACCGCACTGAATTCTTGGAACGCGCGCGCTCGTTACCTGACCCACGCTAGGATGTTCGTCGATACACAAAGTGACATTGCCGTAGTTACAGGCAAACCCATTTCCCTGAATTACCCCAAGGATTTTTCTCAATGGTTGAGATCATAAACCAAATACCTAAAGCCTATTGACAAAGTCTCGAGAATCATCGATGACGCTCCGTCTTAGTCAGCGGTAACTGGCATCCTCCAGGTTCCGAGGATGCGCATGCGTGTACGCGCCTGAAAGGCCTCCAGGATGCCAACAGTCCCACGTAATAAACAATATCAATACAATATTGGTAAACTGTACTTCGCACAACGGCTAAACATTCCAACGACCACTTCACTATCGAAACGTGAACATTTTGATATATTGACAGAGCCATGCAAATCTAATATCGCAAACATAACAAAATCCTACATACCCGACAATACATGTCCAACAACCGACATTACCTGAAACGCCGCCCTGGACAATAATATTCCTCCCCAAAAATCTAGAAGCGTCCAAACTGCAAACCCCCCAAAGATACCACCAACAACCATCCCAGCCAAATGCTTCCAACCTTGTTCCCAGTCGCCGTTACGCAGGCACTTTTACTTCTCGCAATCTCCTAGAAACCATCTCTAACCTAAACTTGAGGCTTTCTTCCTTCTCTGAGCGTAAAAATCGAACGTTCTGGACGTTTCTCGACATTCGCGGCGAGTCGGAAGCGAATTCGAGCCAGTTGGCCCGCAGGTGTCGTCACGGGTCGTCGCGGTCGACGAGCACGCGGGCGCCTCCGCGCACGCGCAGTGCGTCGAGTCACGCGGCGCGAGGGAAAGCCCTGGGTAGCTCTTACCCGTGGGTAGTCGACGGCGCGTCTCGTCGCGGCTCCTGGGCCCTCGTCGAGGTGGTCGCGCGCATGCGTGCCGGCCCTGGGCGAGGACGCGCGAGGGATGCTTCTTCGAGTGACAACCCCGGATCGGACACGGCGTCCGCGTTTCGTTTTCGAGGCGACCGGTCGCGACTAGCAGCCACCGACTGCTCGCCGATCCGCGCTCCGGCCTTCCGTTCCCTGCCGCTCTCGCCCGCGCGAGCCGCGAGCGCGCCCCCCTCCCCTCCCACCCGCAGCCCCCCGCCGAGCCGACCCGAGCGCGCTCCGAAGCCGATCCGAAGAACCGCGAGAGGCCCGAGAATTCTCTCCTTTTCACCTCTTCCCGCGGCGCGCCGTGCCCGGTCCCGCCCCCCACCCCACGCCCCCGAAGCGCCAGGGGACTCGATCCGCGGGCCCCCCCTCCCCCTCCTCTCCCCTCTCCCCTTTGCCCCTACCGTCGAGCGCGAAAAATCAAACAACGACCTCGACTTTCGTTTTTACGGAGAGGTACCCTCGTTTTTCTTCACTTTTATATTCACTTTCCGGACCCCATGCTTTTGGGACTTTCCCTGTTACTAGATGGGAAATTCACGGGATCCTGGGCCTTGGGCACTGAACTTTATATTAAATGGATGGCTGATATCCTATAAAATGGCGTGACGTTTTGAAGCGTGATAGCCCTCTCGTTTTAGGTACGTCAACTAATATTGTAGGATTTGCGAACGCGTCGAACAATGCGTCATTCAACTGTTGATTGTAGTAGAGGTGTATGCATTAATTTACTGGAAGAGAGTAATTGTCATTTTTATTCAAATACTTCTGAGAAAAAGAATAACCGTTTTACATGGAAATTATGTCTCTTCTGTCCTGTATACCTTAAACGTTTACGTTTGGGAATGGACGGTTCAAAACTTTTACATATGCGCACATGTTACTTATTTAGTATCGCTGCCCACGTGTCGTGGCGCTGGGGTGCCTCGTATTCGTCCAAGTCCTCTTCGTGTAGAACTAATCGGTATCAGCTATCCAGTTAGTATATAGGTCAAGGGTTTTGGGGTATTTTAACGGGAATTTAGAGGATATGGAGGATTTTAGAAGACGTGCAGTTTGTTCGTTAAGGACACGTCGTAGTAAGTAAACGCTCGAGATGTATTCAGCGGGCGGCACGGAATGTCCCGTGAATACGCAATGTCTCCTTTCGAATTATTCCTTTCTTTTTTTTTCTCTCTTTTGTTACAGGTGATGTGGGTATGTGTGGATGTCGTGTGTGGGCTGGCTGCGGATTTAGGATTGCCTCATGAGACCGGGCCCACGAGCCTTTGTCGAAGCACTCTCAAAGTGAACCGCATTATCTACACTTCACCCCTACGCTGGATAACCTACAAAGCCTGGCATTTTGTGGACTCGGCAAAAAACGTATTACCTGTAGTTTGGGTATTCGAAAGGGACGAGTTTTGGGGGCATTTGTGGTGGAGGACCGAAGGGTTATCGTTTTATGTACTGCTTGGTTCGGTATGATGGATATGGCGTTGCCTCCGAATATGTACTTTCAGAGATATTATGTTCGAGGAAAAGGTTGCAGATACCGAGTCCACGTTACGTGGGCTTTGTTGACTTGTCGCTATGTTGCGGTGAGAGCTCCTGTATATTCTTATGGTATCTTTCACTGCATTTATGGCGGTACCGTTCACCGCAAGCACGGCGAGACCAGCCGTGAAATTTCAGGCACGCAACTGTGAAAGCTTTACAAGCTGGAAGGTGTCTTGGGGACTTCGGCTTGACGCCTCGATAAGGACCCTGCGTGTTAACGACGCCAATAATGACAGAGTTAACCCGATATTACTGAAGTTTCGGTGCACTTGTTAGCGGCGGCCATCTTGCAGGTAGTTGTTCCCTACACCCTGTTGGTAATCATTTTTCAAGACTTTTCGAGGCGATTTAATTTCTTTTCATACCAGCATAAATTCTTCGCCTATTAATATCGCCTTCACTAGATTATTAACCTTTTGTCGAGTAATGACGAGACGGGCTCGTGGCACGGAATCTGGGCCACAGTTGAAAACCTCGAGTCACTCCTGGTAAGTAACAAAAAATAAAAAAAATCGGCCCACGGTTGCTACGGAGATCGAACTTGGGACTTCTAAATTAAAGAGAATTACAAGACATTATTAGTTGTTTCTTATTATTTTTTTCATAAAATGCTCTGTATTGCTTGTTTTGGGCATAACGATTTTCATTCCTTATTTGTAGTACTTTTATTTCACTTTGTTAATAGATATTTTTTTAATTTTACGAGGGTCAGGACCTTCCTTATAGCCTTTATATTCAGGTTGTAAAGTTTGAAACGATTTGGTACACTCAGTTCGGAGAAACGTTTCATAAATGAAACCCCTCAGATACCCCTTAACATTGTTCATTAATTTCGTGTTGAATGAGAAATCCATAGAAAGGCAGTGTTCGTAGAAATCGAGGAGTTAACGGGTCAGGTCCTCGGGAAAGAGAGAGGGGCGATTCTAGGATTTCGCAGTCCATGGCCGGTTGCCGCCACCCACGCCTCATCGGCGATCAGTCGGCGAACGACGAAAATGGCAGCGGGCCGCGATCTCCAGTTGGCCGGCCGGTCCAGCTTCCCTCACGGACCGCCAGTTGGCGGCCCGTTTGCGGCCAGTTGGCGGGACTCTCGAGTGCGCCCGAACCTGCCCGTAAATGGCGAGTAGAAGGCCTTGGGGCGCCCACGCCCTCGCTCCTTCGTCCCCGACATCGGAATCACTTTTCCTCCCAGCCCGGAGAGAGATTCCGAAACCCTCCGCGACAGCTGCCTCTCCTTTGAGCACCGAATCCTGGGATTAACTCGCAACTGGAACATTTCTAACCTTTTTTCCTGCAGATGGGGAGGAACTCATGAAGCTTTGTAAGACACCCTCTTCGTTTCCCTTACTCTGGATGAATGAAATCCAGTTTCCAGAAAGAGGAAACAGAGACCTTGGTCGCTCTTCCAATATCAATGAAAATCTACACTAATGTATAATGACATAAACTCGTATGTTTGTACGTACAAAAAAAAAAAGAATTGATTCATTGGACAAGCATCGAATGCATTAGGTTAATTTAAATAACCTTCTGGTTGAGTGAATTTCGGTTTTGGTTCACTTGATCAATCTCGTTTACTTCGATCAACTAAAGCGTTTTGGTTACGCTGTTTTATTAATTTTAGGAAGTATTTTAGTGAATAAACTAAGAATTTCAGTTAAATGTACCGATGTTCTTTAATATTTCACGTGATTTATCAGATGTATTTCATGTAACCGAAGGTATTGGGCGAAGAATTTTGTCTTGTCGAACATTTTGTTGTTTGTATAATATTGTAGTATACAGCACCCCATGTACACGTCTCTTCATGTTTTGTATTAATGTCCTAGTAACTTGAGAGGACGGCTCTCCTCGACATGTGCCAAGGCTCGTAAAACGTGCCGCAAAGAGAATATTTTTAGCGGTATCGTCGCAAAATGTCTATATTCGTTCTCGTGGAAAATCCTGACGTTTCCCGAAATCGTGACGGAGAGATTGGAGCCTCTTAAGGGTCGATTCGTATGCGTGGCGACGCTTCCACGAGAGGACGATTTTCTTATAGCGCGCTTTCGGGGTGAATCGTCCACGGGTGGATCGCCACTTTGGTGGCCGCTGCGGAGCGTTTTCCGCAGCCTCTGCCGCGGTAATTCCGCTCAAATTGGTGGACGGACGCTCCCGCTCCGGCATTCGCTGCCTCCGACAACTGCCCAGTAAACACAATCATGTTACATTCAGATTTAGTTTACGTCTCGCTGATTTATGGGACATAAAAGATGTGTTCCAGGTAACCTCAACGATGCTATACGAGTTGAGCTTGCGTTATAATTGAGCTCTAGTCATACAAAAGCGTTGTTGCAGGCAATCTGAAATGCGACGAAATATCCCCCCAATTCCAAACATATACTTATTCATGATATCCAAATATTCATTCCGGGCATAACGAAAAGCTTGATTAACTCCCGCCAAAAGTATATGCATACACTAAAATTCACTGAATTATTCATGTATAAAATATATACATGCATAATGGTAGAATTCTATTTATATTTAAACTACAGTACTCATTCATATCTAAATATTGATCGCGGGGAAAATGAGAAGCTTAATTAACTTCCTGGCAAAAGTATATACATACACTCTAAAATTGATTGAATTATTCATGAACAAAAAATATGGCAGAATTTTATTTACAAATAAATCAAGTTTTACGGAATAGAGGTTTAAAGCGTTGCTCGCTGCGATGTAAGTTACGCAGAAGTATGTGAAGCATTTTGAAACTTCAAGTCCACGACCAAAGTGACTTCGGTCGGAATAAGTGCCGCCGCAGTCGCGGAGTCAAAACGGAGTAACCGCAGAAGTGGTGAACGCCCTTAAGGTTCGATTCGTATGCGCGGCGGCGCGTCTCCACGAGCGCGATCCTCCTGCGGAATCCGGCGATGCACCTTCGGGGCGAATCGTCTCTGCGTTCCCCGTGCGAATATCGGCGGTGGCACGGCGCAGCGACCGCGGCTGCTGCAGCCAGCGCATCCACTGCGTCTGCTGCAACCGCCGCATCCACTGCAACCGCTGCAGCGCCGAAGGCCCCCAGGCCGTGTTCGCTGCCCCCGACGTCGCCGCTCAAATTGGCTGCCGCCTTTGGTCGTTCCCTCGCTCTCCGCTCGTATATTCAACCCCGCTGTAGAGCCGCTCCGAAATGGAGCTCAGCCTGCTACGGCCGATAGGCGCCCTAAAATTTAGGCACGACCACGTGAGGTCCGTCAAAATTGCGGACCCTTATTATAGGACGAAGGTCGGCTCAGGCATATTAATTTAGGTCTCGTGCGTCACGAAATATTGAATTTCCCAACTATGGCCACTTCTTGCCTAAGAATAACCCTTTGACGGGGAAAATGTTGAGGCGGATAATATATAAAATATGAAACATGTATTTTGCGAAGCGGCTCTAATAATCGTGAATAATACGGCAGCAGTGTTTGCGAAACGACTCTAATGATCGTAATGGCGGCGCTCTGCACACTCCTGAAGTGAGGCAAAGTTTGGACCAGGTCTAGACTGCTGGCCTCGTATCGTGGCAGCAACTCTCGC